CTCTTTCTTGACAGTTGCAAATATGTGTTTTATTGTGAGATTGGTTTCCTTTTTAGGTCCAACCCATCTGTATCCCTGACTTTTTCTTTATTAGTAAAGCAGCACAGTGACAGCTGTTTGTATACTACAACCTTCAGCGATGCCAACAAGAAAAAAGAACTCAAAACAATTGAAGAACCTGAAGTAAATTAGATCAATTTTTAAGCTTCTGTGTATTAAATGACCAATTTTTTTTTAAATGTTGTAAAGTTTCATATAAAACTGAGCTGATAATTGAAGTTCAGTGACCTGCGAATGTAGTTTGTTTCATTGTATCTTATACATCATGTGGAATTACACAGTTATAAGAGCTTCTGTTCTTAACATTAATTCATAAAAATCCAGATTGTATTTTTATTTTAAAGTGGCCCTACTATGCACATTTCCAGGTTTATATTGTGTGACTCTAGCAGCGTATTTTTACATCATTCAAAGATCTACATAATCATTCTGTGGGCCTTGGTGATGCCCTCACTTTAAGGCCAGCTTTCCGCTGATTTGTAGCCATTAATTAATAAATAAAGTGTCTAAACAGCAGCTGGGTTGAAAAGATGGTCTTAAACTGAGCGATTAGAGGATGACATTATTACCATACACTAATCTAATCACACTGCAGGAACCCAGTGCATTTAGGCATGCAGACATGATCAAGACGACTTAATGAGGTTCAACCTGAACATCAGAATGGAAGAATGGTGACTTTGAGCATGACACAGTTGTTGATCTAAGTATTTCAAAAAGAACAGAGAAAAAGAGAAAATGTTCAGTTCGCTGGGTGAAAATGCTTTGTTGATGTCAGAAGTCAGATGAGAAGGGCCAGACTGCTTTCAGCTAATAGAAAGGCAACAGTAACTCAAATAACCACTCATTACCACCAAGGTATGCAGAAGAGCATCTCTACAGCAGCAGAAGACCACATAAGTGCCACTCCTGTCACCTAAGACCAGGAAACTGAGACTACAATTCACACGGGCTCATCAAAATTAGACAACAAAATATTCAAAAAACATTGCCTGGTCTGATGAGTCTGTATTTCTGCTGCAACATTCAGATGGTAGGGTCAGAATTTGATCTAAACTACATGAAAGCATGGAGCCATCCTGCTCTATATCAATGATTCAGGCTTCAGGTAGTGTAATGGTGTGGGGCTGTACTCAAAGGGCCTCCATATTTACAAGATTTCAATCCAGCAGATCACCTTTCGGGTGTGCAGCTGACAAATCTGCAACAACCGTCTGATGCTGCCAACATTCACCAAGCAGCTTGTTGAATCTGTGACTTGAAGAATTAAAGCAACCCTGAAGAGCATACAACCTGACAGCTGCAAGGTGTACCTAATGAAGTGGCCAGTGAGTATATATCCAGAAAATAAGGAGAAGGCATAAATGGTCCACTTTAATTACTAGTAAATTCCAGTTTAATGTGTACATGAAAGGGAATTTTTTTTTAAAGCTCTTTTGAACATTTTGAACATCATGAAAAAATAGTTTACTCTCAGGATAACCAAAAACAGTTTATTCTTAAATATAACATTTCAATAAAATATTTAATTAAATATAGTTCAGAAAACCTCTGCAACATAAAAGGTTTAAAGGGTTCCAGACGGGATTAAATTTAAATTACTTGTGATTAATTACATAATTTCCTTAGGGATTAATAAAGTATTCTGATTCTGATTAAATAAAAACTGTCGTTGGGATTAAAATCAAAGCCAAGTAACTGATGAAACAGTCGTCCTACTCTTATCCGGTCCTGGCTACACCACTTGTGGCGAGGACGTGGAGAAAAGAGCAGAGTGTCGTCTGTAAATCACCTTCTTGGTGAACATCGTGATGTGGTGGAAGTCTCCGTGACCTCCCTGCTTCACAGGCAGCGTGAGGAAAAACCGGCTCCTGTCCTTGGAGAACAGCGGATCCTGTCCCTGCAGAGAGAAACTCGAGACTTCAGAGGTCACATTCTTCACGCATGGACGCATCGTGCTGCATGCTGACTCAGCAATACAACACAGTCCAAAAATAAGCTACGCATATTTTTATCAATGGATACGACATTAAAGGAGGCAGCTGTGCAGGAGATTTAACCTTCACGTCTCGCCTACAGTGAAAACTAACCCGCCCCATGAGTTAAACCCCTTATCCAAGCACAGGGGATGCTCCTGTATACACAAACCGTGAAAATCTATCTTTATTCATTATTCTTGCAGGCTTTTACGCTATAATGCACTTATTCAAGCATTAAAAAGAATGCCAGTAACACCCCAAAAATAAGTTACGCCATTTTCACACATCCACAGGAACCCTGGACTTTTCTAGACATCATATAAATGAGGAGCATGTGAGAAGACAGATGTCAAACACGGTCAGCTCATACGTTAAATGGTCTTTAACCTCCGATGTCTCTGCTACAATGTCCTTGTGATTGTCAGGTGTGAATGGGCGTCATGTGACCTGCCGCTTGTCCAGAGAGGCCCCCTCCCCTGAACCACATTGATGATTTCCAGTCCTACAAACATGTCTAATTGTGTAATAAAGACAGCTCTGGACAAGGTCTGAGTGCAGAAGCCTGTCCGGTTAGTTTTGTAACCTTGAAAT